TGGCCTGAAGAGTCGCTTTCTTTTACTCCAGTTCCTTGATCTGACCAGAGGAGATAGACCCTTCGCCCGCAAGAACCTCGGCCATTTACGCCACCTTCATCATCCCGACCATACTGGAAGCCAGATGCTTCCTTCGACCCTCTTCATCGAGTCACCTATGATGTCGTACTGATTGTCAAACACAGTCAGAGGAAAGCCCTCGAAGAAATCCTTCTCCATGAAGTAGGGCGGTAGGCTGAAGGCTCGGGCAGTCGCCCCTCCCCCAGTCACATCGAAGAGCCCACCTTTTGGGTGACTCCTTTTCTTGCTCAGCACAACAGCTTGCTGATCAGCACCGCGGGTGCCTGACGACCCACTTGATCCCTCCTTGAACGGTTCGGAAATTGAACCCATGGTATAGCCTGGTGCGGCTTCACCAACCTCTTATGGCTCTTTTTCTATTGGGTCAGTTTCAACAATCTCTCGTGACGCTCCGCCATGTTACCTGCAAAAACAAAAACGGTATCCTCGGGTCAGCCTCGACGGGAAAAAAAAAAGAAGTCAAGTCAAGAAGTAAAAATATAGTAAAATCAAGTGAGCAGAAACTTAAGAGATTCACGGCTTCCCCATAAGAACGACACTCGACGAGCACCTTGGTGTTGATCGGGCGTGCCTCGAACGTCGTCTCATCATCTTCGTCAAGGATGTTATGTCCTTCCCTCGTGACCCACCTGGAGGGAAAGAACCCGTCGATGAATAGGCTAAGGACGCCATAGGCCTCTTTGTCCTCAACGCTCATGCCGCCGGCGGGAGTATGGTAATGCCCGGGACCATGATGGTAGTGGCCCGAACACCAATGGATGGGAAACTTCGAGATTCGCCCCATCTCCTGCTCACCATTCACATCATATCACGGTTCGCCGTCTTCATCTACGATGGGAGTCGGGTCGACGGAAACCTGAGAAGTAGGTCGCACGATATACCATATGTCTTTAAAGTCGCGGATGGAGTCCATGTACATCCTGAACAACCTCTTTGATTGTTTGAAGGAGACCCAGCTGTGTTTCCCACCCCGGAACTGCCGTTGAAGATGAAATACCCTGAAGAACAGGAGAATGGTCACCCTGGTCCTCAGGAACTTGCAAGTAATCTCAAATTCCCGGATGGAGGAAATTACGTTGGGGTGAAGCTGAGTGGGCGCTAAGTTCAAGTGATTGAGCACCCCTATCTGGAAATCATTGAAGGGAAGGCGAAGCCCAAATCTCTGAAAACAACCTCCTACATGGGGAAGCGGTCTTCCTCGTACTCCGAGCATATTCAAGCATTGGGCGTCAGTCGCAAGATCGTGAAGTTCCTTTGGAAACCTTCTTGATCACCGCCATACTCGACGACACTGTAAGCCTGCCTCCTGCTATGACTATATATCGAGGCGATTCCTCGAGGCTCTGCCCCGACCCCAGCCAATGTGGGATCGTCAACCGTGTCAACCAAGTTGACACCCTCCTCGGCTACACTAGTCTCTTAGGTGTCCACGTGCTCGGACGATTCAGGAGTGTCGGCCATTTTACCTGTAAAGTAGAGAAAAGCAGTAAATTCGACAGCAAATCCAAATCCATCCTTCCACCACGCATGTGAAAGGGTTATGAGGCGCCCAAACTAAATCGACAGTCACTCGTCCAGAAGGGGTAATACTCGACCCTCGATCAGGGCACGAAAATCATGTCATTCTTATAAGACCACACAGCGGTTATAACGACGAATGCTCATTTTCACGAATACCCCGAGCACATAAAGAATACAACGAGCAAAGTACGAATTTTCCGGCCAAGCTCATGAATTTGTCGGGGATCGCATAAATTTCTTGCGTAAAATTCATAAATTTCGCAGGGATATATGAAGACTACGGGGTAAGTTCATCTAAGTGTCGGGGAAAAGATGAATATCACGGGCTCAATCATGAATAGTACGCATAAATACATGAATTTTCCCTGAACAGAACCCCCCAGTTGTGAAATTCTACAATTAAAGCATCATCAAAGCCAATCTAAATAAAGAGTGTCACGAAAAATAATTACTTGGACAAGAGTAGATGAAGAATAACAAAGGTAGGAGAAGAACACGTGATGGATTCTGCGGCGGCGTTGGTAGTGGAAGGAAACGGCACAGCATTGGCGATAGGGAGAGTGAAGAGCGCGGGAGTGTAAACGTGAATAATGGGCCTTGTGGCACTATATATAGAGCTGACGTGGAATGCAAAACGTCGCGTCGGGTAACTCAACAACCTCCTTTATCCTCGACACCTACGCGTTCAACTAATGATGACCCTTACCCCCTAGGCCATCATTACAATCCCAAAGGCCACGCCATGTGCCTACACCCCACAGGTTTCTCCTCCCCGCGACTAGAATGCTCCCATCTCGAGTCCATTCTGAACGTTGCTCGGGTAAACCCATATATCGACGACTTTCTCCGTCAACACAATAAAAGATCCTCATCGAGTAGTGCACCTCGTAAAAGAAAAAGCTAGACTTAAGTCATAACTCCTTCACCAGAAGCAATGACTTGGGGGGCTCTTATTCTGGACTGGGTCTGCCCTTGGCCCAACTCCATGCGAGGCCCAACTCAATTATGTCGGTCAAGGCATACTGGTCAGTTCTGTCCTCGACTTTGTCGGGCAGCAACTCCCACTCCCCGCAAGGAGGTAACCTCACCGCACGAGAATAAACCCAGACAGTCTTAGGAAGATCATCGCCGATCAAAAGGACCTCGAGATCACCCTTCGTTCCTCTTCCCGACCAAGACTGATCCCCTCACACGACCTCGCATTTGGCGGAGAGCATCCACGACGAGCAGAAGCACCTCACAAGCATCCTCCTCGTAGGGCTGACTGTCAACGTCTCTGAATATCGCGGAGTCTTCGTGGCCCCAGAAAGACCGCATCCATATCCTCCTGATCTTGCGGAGGAAGTCATCCAAGTGGGGGACCACATGCGGGTCCCCACTACTCACGTAAAACCTGGCAGTCTCCACTTTGGACCTGCTTGACCAGTCCAATGAGGAGACCTTGGCCCAGCACTGGGAGCTATAAATAACTTCTCTTTCGAGAGGGTCAAGTATTGAAGATCTCTTACTCTCTTACTTGCTTGCTCATTCCGAATCTCACTTTGACATCAAAGTGTCTTGCAGGTATCCCTCTATTTCACTCTCAAGTTCTGCTTGACGTAAGCTGTGATGGTACATTCTGGTCAGGTACGATCAATACTGATTTACCTTGATTTTTATTTTGAACCAAATATATTTTTTAAATGCTATTAATTAGTTACCAAATAGTTTTGAAAACATCTCTTTATTAACTCAATTTAATCAGAATATTATTGGAGAAAAAAAATTATAATTCGGGGATTATTATTAAGAGAGTGATAATAATGTTACTAGAAGAAAGAAATAAAGGACAACTTAATATTCATATTCTAATAAAAGAAAACCTACAACAACAAGGTTTAGTATAGCAACATACTTGTTCCATTTCATAATAAGTATTTTTTTTTATTTGTCATAAATTATTTGTCTATTTAAAATATTAATGTGATATTTATTATTTCTTTTCACTAACATATATTTATTTATTATATTTTAATTCATAACTACTTTTCTATCTATTATTAATAAGTTTGTTTTAATAAATAACACTTATTTTATTATTGAAATCAATACAATTAATCATTATCTTAAAAAATATGAAAATCTCAAAAAATATTAAAAAAATGTTTTTTTCTTTTGACTACTGATAATATTTAAAAAAATGTACTTGTAATCAACATTCATAGATCAATATGTTGTTTGAAGTAATGTTTGTTAGAAAAATAGATTTTAGAAAAATAGATTTTAGAAATATCAATGAAACAAATACAATCATGATGTATCAATCAATTTACTTTTAAAAAAATAAAAATAATGTAATCTATACATCAATTACAAAAAAAATAGGAAATATATGTAATAAAATATTGTGAATTAAAAAAAAATTAATTCATTTTATTAAATGTTAACATTTTAAATATTATTACTATACTTAAACTCATGTATATTTTTAGAACTAAAATTGTCTTACTATTTTATATTTTTCAACTTAACTACAACAACACATCTGTTCCTTTATTATGTTTTTGATATTATTTAGTATTTTACACATCTGTTTCTTTATTATGTTTTTGATATTATTTAGTATTTTTTATAATAGATAATTATAAATTATTCTATATTTCAATTATAAAAAATATATCAGTCACAATCTAGTTGCTCATATTTGTGCACTTCTTGTTCTTGTGTTTTGTGACTTGTACTTTGTGACTATCTTTGTTGCAAATTGGCAATTCAACCCTTTATTAATATATTACTATTTGTCATTAAAAAGAAATAACAACCAAATTCACATTCATTGAAGAGACCATAAATTGATCATTTTTAAGTTGTCTATATAAAAGATTGAATCACCAATTGTGAATAGCATATTGGCCAAAGGCTTGATTTGTTACTCACTTAGAGATTGGAGTGCTTTAGGTGTTCTTGAGCTTAGATCAAGATTGATTTGACCAAGGTTTTGCAGTTGAGCTTAGATCAAAGTTGACTTGACCAAACTTGCAGTTATCATGCATAAGAAAAAATTAAGAGTAGAATGAACAAGTAGATATTTTGGTATTCCAACTTAAAACATATCTAACTGACATTATCAAAACTAGCCCTCTTTCAAGAGAAAGGATTGACTGCAAAAAAATTATAGTTGCCATAATATTATACAATCAAAACCACAAAATAAAATAAAATTCTAAGGGGTAGACATTGTTAATAATTTACTGAATCAAAATCAGTAGTATATCATAATCAGCCAAAATTGCACATCATTTGCATAATCTATTTGAGGGATTAGTTTCAGGATTACTCCAAATCTTCTGATGCAACAAATCAAAATCTGCAATCTTATGATACAGATATTATGATTTAGCTCCTCTCTGTCCAATTCTTCAAAATATACCTCCATTTTTCTCTTGCCTTTCATTTTTGCCTATTAAGAAGCACTCTTCAAAATCCTTTTTTTTGTTTAGAGAAATTATAATTATAAGAATTGATTCTGGGTGTAATAATTTACTGTCTCCTCTTACTCCTTTTCTTTAGTGATGCTATATCTGCTGATGCATCCAGTTCCACTTTTTCATGTTTCTTTGAAAATTCTTTATTTCTTTTTCTCTTACTTCTTTGCTTTAATAATCCTTTTTCTTCTAACATTTTCAGTTTCTGTTTTTTCCTCACTTTTGCTTTCTCTTCAAACCCATCATCTATCATCTTCATTGTTGCAACATTTTTAGCACTGAAAACCTACAATGCATCAAAGTAGACAAGTTTAAAAACCTATAATACTAACAAACCACAATCAAGTAGAGACGATAATATAAAATCTAATTTGCAATTCGTAAGCTAGATGAACAAGCTACACATAAAAAACATACCTTTTTCATGAGAGAAAGCACCTCATTTTCTTTGTATTCAATCATATCAAGTTGCCTTTTGGTAAGGGCCTCTATTTCACGAACGAGATCAACATCATTCTGCAAATGCCAAATTTGTTTGATGACAAAAGGAAATCAGTGCAAGACAAATATCAGAATCCTAAAATGAAACACCTTTGTCACAATTGAAACAGTCCAACACCAATACATAACTATACTTCAAGAAACTACCAAATACCAAACAACATACCACGTATTATACAAGCATCAGTAACAGGATGTGTATGACCAAATTGATTCACAATACCAATAGCATAAAACATTAAAAAGTAAAAGCACTTCGTTGAATTTTTTGGAAAGATTTTCTAAGCTGAGAAGTGACTTTAAAACCAGCATCAGTATACATGCTACAACTAGTTTCAGATTTCAAATCACCATTACAAAAAATTGCTAAAGGACTAATCATACCCATAAAAACAAATCATCAAAAAGAAAACATGGCATTCACAGCATCATTTCACCCCTAACGTCATTTCACCCCTAATATAAGATACAGATCTTGCAGACATAGGAGCTAGTCAACATAAGAATTACAAGAATAAATAAATCAATACATTCAATGCATGAAAACTCAATTTCAAACAATAGAAAAAGATCTTTAAGGTTCCACTTAATTTGAGAAAATGTTTTCTGTTTTCACCGGGGTTATATTACCAGTGTTATCTACACAAATCCTTGAAAATAGGAAACAGATTGAAAACACGTGAAAGTTTGGTAAATCCTGTAAAAGTGAAAACAGAAAATAAAAACTAAAATGTTTCCTCTTACATCTAAAATAAAATGTGTTTACCTGGGTGACAAGGCTCAGAGCAAGCCCCCCTCTACCTGCTCTTGCAGTACGACCAACACGATGGATATAATCTCGTGGAATCCTGTGGGTGAATAGTTAAAATATGTTTCATCAAATGCCTTGAAGACGAATAAATAAAATAGCAAAATTTGAAAAGAAGAGTAACCTTGGAACATCATAATTAATAACAAGATCAACTGTAGGAATATCCAAACCGCGGCCAGCAACATCAGTTGCTAGTAATATAGGAACCTTTCCTGATTTAAATTCATGAAGTGCTTCAAGCCTCTGAGCCTGTGATCTGAATGAATACAGAGCTGCAGCTTCTTGATCAAGCACTTCCAGCATTAAATTTAAACGATGACAATCTCTGCAATTTGGGAACTGTTAAGAGTATCTACAAGATAAAATATACACACATTATTGCTTAAAACAAATCATCATCTAGAGGGATACCTGCAAGTGGAGACAAAGACAATGGCAGACCGAACTCCCATATCTTTCATTTTAGACAAGATATGCAACAAATACACATCCTTCACCTTTTTAGGGATGAATACAGCTTGTTGAGTGAGTTTTTCAACTGTCTTAAACCCTTCATAAGCCTCGAAGGCATATAGCTTATGTTGATAACGCTCACGCAACTTTTGCAAATTACTAGTTGTAGTTGCAGAAAAGAATAGGTTTTGCCGGCTTTCTGGTAAGCACTGAAAGATAAATTTCAATTCCTCCTGAAACCCAACATCCAGGACCCGATCTGCTTCATCCAAGACAAGAAACTACAAAAGCAAGTGTCATGTAGAGCATAATCATACCAATGCTTAATCTATTTATAATGTTTTAAAACAAAGAAATGTGTTATTGAATATTCATAATATGTACTCATGCAAGTAAAGTATCCAATTTTGATTACTAAAAGATGTGAAAGAGATTCTAATCATGGAAAGCTTTGTACTCACTCAAGTGAGAGGCCGTTTGGATTAGCTTAGTTCAGTCTAGGACTTGTGAGACTAGTTGAGATGGCTTATACAAACAAACATGTATATCAACAGAGTTTATGGAGAGAGACCCTTCTCAAGATCTTGACTAAGTACGGAATGCTATGCCAATTGTTTGGGTGTTGATGGAGTATGTTTTTTCATTATCCCAAGGAATATAGCTTTGTTATATGGCAAATAAAGGAATTTGAAGTTGAATAATCTTGGACAATGCTATAGAAATTTATTTTGAAACACACATTTGTATCCTCTGCAGTTTATCTCCATAAACTATTGATGATTACATGAAAATAACTTATAGCCTATATAAGTGTTTATGCATTATGTGCTCAATTAAGACTCTGTTTGGCAATTATGAACCACTAGTTTTACTAAACACTTCAATTAGTTAATCAGTTATTAGTCATCAGCTATAGACTATAAGTTATAAGCTATCTGTAATCAGCCACAAATTATAAACTATCAGCTAACTTATTGGTCAACCGCGAACAAAGCCTAAATTTCTTATACAAAACCGACCTAAAATCAACAGCATTATCACATCAAAACAATAGCAGCAACGCAAATAAATTAAGCAAACAAACAATTTACCTTAGTCCTGGAGAAAACAGGAGCAATTTCAGGATTATCCTTGAGCAAAACATTGATCCTTCCGGGAGTAGCGATAACAAGGTGAGGCCTAGCAACCAAGTCTTTAGTCTGTCTAAGCATATCCATACCACCAACAATCAAAGCAATCCGGAGTCGGATAGAGGAACCAAGGGCACGAAACTGCTCCGCGAGCTGAAACGCAAGCTCGCGAGTGGGCGTCACCACGAGGGCAAACACACCAAACGGATGCTCCGCCAGACGCTGGAGTATAGGAAGCGCAAACGCCGCCGTTTTACCACTACCAGTCTCGTCGATTCCGATTACATGACGGCCTTCTAGAATCTTGGGGATGCAGTACTGCTGCACGCGGCGTGGCGTTAACATTCTGAGCTCCTTGCAGGTTTTCACCGCCCATTCCGAGAGTCCGAGCTCGGAGAATGTGGTGGTGTTTTCGGTGATGGAGTTAGGGTTTTCGTGGGTAACGATGTTGTTTTGAGGGATGATAGTGGCGGCGGGTGAAGGGTTTTCGTCTACTTCGTGTTTTGGTTTCTCCATTGTGTTGCACAAAAATAAAATTCCTCTCTTAAAAATCTATTATAAATATATAAATTTTCTAATGTGTAATATCAAGATTTTTTTGTTACAATTTAAATTTATTTTAATTCTATAATTAGTGATAGATAGTACAACTTTAGTGGTCTAATGGAAATTTGAAATGGCAATCAATAATATAATTACGTTCACATTTTTTTTCTAGCAATTTAAATTTATTTTAATCTCATAATTAGTGAAAGATAGTACAACTTACACGGGTCCAATACAAATTTGAAATGACAATTAATAGTGTGCTATTATGGTTCAAGAGACTTTGAAAAACTGCTTTGAAAAATAAAACTCACAACTTCTCATTATTAAAACTTTTCATTTTTCTATGTTCAATGTCAAATATATAGACTCTAGGGACATCTACATCCATCGTATCTATTTGAATTTTTTAAATGGGATCCACATAATTTTTTATATTATTTCACATTTTTTAATTTTTTAAACAACTCATCTACAATTCTCAAATATCTATGTAACTCATCAAAAAATCTAAAATGGATCTCACATTTAAAACAAATCAACTACATTCTTGCAATTTTATTTATTAATTTATTATCATGACCCACTTAATTGGAGTGTAGAAACGTGTTTTAGTATGAAGACGTGTTTTAGTTCAGGAACGTGAAAACGAGTGAAATATCCATTTATTATTGACACAATTTCTTTAATAAATGTGTAGGAACTCTCAAAGAACACTGATAATCATGCTCTAAGAATGTCAAACTAAGAACCACAACCTCTCATCTTCCAAGCTTCAAGTTACTGCCACTTATGTAAGTTTTGTATCATCAATTTGTTCAATTTTGGTTTCATTTAGACATTCATTTGCGATTATGTGATATTTGTTGTGTTCTTACAGTTTAGAAGTTTGTGGTCTTCAAGTTTCTGCAAACAATCAAACAGCAAAATCAGAATAAAAAACCAACCCCATTGAAACCCAATTCCAAAACTTGTGATACAGATTCCAAGCTGCAAACAAAAACATTCTAAAGAAAGAACAAACACAAAAATAGATATGCTAGATTCATCACTTAGTCGTAACAAAAGGAATTACCGATTTTTCACAAATCCGGCGACGACTTCGATGTGAGCTTTGTGTATTTGCACTTGATATGTTTCTTCAATATCTCTGAGTTTCGGTTTTGAGGTATTGGATAAGAGGGTTATATGTGTACCGGATTGTGGAGGTTTTTTGTGATGATTTTCGTTTCTTTTCTGATATGATGTTGTTGTTACTTATGGGGAATGAAGGGATGGAATGCGGGATCAAGGTGTGAGCTGGCATAAGGGGAAAATGTGAACCAAAACTTACAAATATCTCTTTTGAAATTTTGTTTGTTCTGCACCGTAATCTTGATTTTTACTGATGTAAAGTACTTCCTGATGCAAAGTTTTACTGATATAACTAACTGAGATGGTTGAAATTGGTTTTGCTTCAGAAATTATAAGCTTCCAATACAAATTTATTGCATTTGGTCTATGAAACAAAGATTTTTACTGATTCTGAAATGGTTTTTTTACTGATTTAGTTCATTCTTAGGTGATTTGAATAAATTTTTCCATTAACATATTCTTCAAAAAGAAATAAGACTACTTGCACGCATTTAGTAGATAGAAAGTAGAAACTAATCTACAGTTTTATGTCGTCTATTTTATGAAGGTTTAGCTGAGATCCAGCTAATCGATATACCTGAGATCCAAAATGTAAGTTTTTCCATCCTCTTTGCTATAAAATATTTTTTTTTATATTATTCTAATAATATTACTTTTTGAAATTGCAATATGCTATTTTAATGTGTATGATTAATGCTAAAATTCATAATTTATTAGATTTGAACATTTTGCTAATTCATCAAAGGATGGAAACATCTAGTACACGCCAAATTTGTTTAATGTAAATGGTACTTTCGGGTGCATCTTTATGAACACATAATTAGCTACATATTATACTTGAAATCACAATATCATAATAAGTTGACAATATATATTATACTTAAATAATTCATATTGCTATTAGTATGAGGTGAGAATGTATATTATACTTAAAATAACAATATTATAATGAGCTATACTTAGTATCTGTTTGTTTGGAGCTACAGACTCAAGTATGTGGGTCAATGGTAACAAAAGAGAAACATAATATCGATGTGGTACTTTTAAGGGATATGACTTATACATGCAATTAACATTGAGTGTCAGTAATTCTTTGAATCTTTCTTGCATTTCACCATATGATGTGTTAATAGATTAAGTTCATTTTTCTATAATTACTGAGAGATGGTAAAATATGGGATGGTATATTATTATATAAATAATGGGATAAGGAAATAAGAAATCAACCAAAAAGAAAGAAAGTGCAAGAGTAAGATTAGAAGAGTATTTCTTGGAGACATACGTATTTAGTAATATCTTTTTTTAATAAATATTTATTGCATACAAAATATATTTTTAGTGGTATAAAAATATATATTTTAAATTATTTTATACGTAAATTATTTTTAAATAATATTACATTTTTTTGACTGAAAATTAAATTCAAAATATAAATTAATTTTACACATTCCTCTAATTATATCTTTTTTTAATTTGAATAATTTAAAAATAATGACATTACATTCAAAAATAATAAAATATAATTAAATATAATAAAAAGTGATACCAAAATATATTTAAAATAGGTTTAATAATTTTTTTATCAAAATACTTGGTTTATCTACAATATAAAAAAGCTATACAACAATTTTAGTCTCTAATTTCATTTGATTCACGAAAATAGTCTCTCTATTTTAAATTTAAAAAAGTTTTGATCCAGTCTCATATTTTTAATAGAAAATTGATAATATTTTTTAGTTTTTTAACTTATATTTTTATTAATATAATTTTACAATAAACTCTATAACTATATGAACATGTATAATGAATGTTTTTGATGAAATTTATGTATGAAAATTTATAAATAATAAATTTCTTTTATATTTTTGGAAAAAAGATTATTTATAGTACAAAAGGTATTTAACCCAAACCAAATACAAAAGTAGGAACAAAACCAAAGTTGTGGTATCTATTACATAATCTTAATTGTAATTTTAGATAATCCTAATTGATTTAAAGAGATTCTTATTTCATTAAACATTATTTATTAATAATTTAGTTTATTATTATTATAAATGCTGATATTCAAAATATCATAAATAAAAATAAATATTATTAAATATTAAACCTGATTTACTTTTAATATTCAAAAATTTAATTTTTTAAATATGATTTTACTTTTAGTAATCAAAATTTACGTGATTGTTGTTATTAAATTTATTTAAGTTTTTCTTTTTAAAATTTTAGTAATATATTAATTATAATTAAAACTACTATTAAAATATAATAAATTTTATTAAAATTTCAATTTATCAAAAATTGTTAGTGTTTTTTTTATGATAAACGTTATCATTTATATTAAAAAATATTATAAATATTTATTTTTGATAAAAGAACATGAAACAATTATGATAGAAAAATACATAAATTTGTTATGAAAAAAATAAATTTATCATTCTTTTTATATTTATACAATTATGTATTATCATTTTATTTAATTAGTACAAATAACATAAAATTTTATCACTGCATCAAAAGTAAGTTTTGTCTCTTTATAAAAATGTATTTTATCTATTTGATAAGCGGACAATAATAGACAAGAGTAATCATTTGAATTTCCATTATACAGTCATAAAAATGTAATTTCATAATTCAATTATTGTAATAAAACAACTATTTTAATCTTCAATTTTATTTAATCTTCAATTTATTTGATTCATAGGTATATGACTACTTAATTATTTTATTTTTATTTTTTTCAATTTTAATCTTCAATTTTATTTGATTCACAAAAATAGTCTATCTATTTAAAATTTTAAAAGTTTTGGTCCTCTCTCACGTTTTTAATAGAAAATTGATGATATTTTTTTTAACTTATAGTTTTATTTATAAAATTTTACAATAAATTTATATATGATTTTTTTTTTAAATTGTTATTGAAGATTAGGTTATAGGTTTGATTTTAATCTTCATACTGAATTTTTATGAGCATATTTAGACAACTTATTAAATTTTAACGGGTTACTGTCATACATTTTAGATTTTGGAAGTTGTCATACATTTTAGGTTTGGAAAAATTGACTAATATCTAAAATAAGTTTAATGAATTTTTAGAATTAACTCATTGGATTCTTATATTCAATTAGGGTTTGTTAACTCATGTGGATTCACGACTAGATGGTAGATGTGAACGTATCTACGAGATACTGAATATTGACTGATCATTTTAATGTCTATCTTTTAACTATTTCTTTTATTGTTATTTTATATAATTGAAGTTATAAAAATAGTTGTACGATTTATTATAAATAGGAATCAATTGCAAAAATACGTTATATTATGTTTGATATTCCAAACACATGAATTAAAATTTGATAAATAATTAAGTTATAACTATATTAATATTATCCAACTGAAAACATGATGTCATACTTAACAATTTATTCTTTGATATGTGTAATGTGAATCTAAACGAGACTCGTGCGATAACACGGGTTTCTTACTAGTTTATTGGGTTAACCTAGTGGTAACATTACTTTGAACAAAGTGACATGCATATGTAATTAGTCACCTTATCCTTTTTTATTAGGGAATTGTTTATACTATCTTAAGGGTAGGTTTGATTCAATCGAAAAGAATGGAAGGGAGAGATTTTTATTAAGGGGGGAGTAAGGGGAAGTTAGGATTAGTTTTATATATATATATATATATATATATATATATATATATATATATATATATATATATATATATATATATATATATATATATATATATATATATATATATATATATATATATATATATATATATATATATATATATATATATATATATATATATATATATATATATAT